CACTGCTTAATAAATATTACCTACTGTTATGCCAAGCAGCATGATAGAAACCAAGGATAAGGGCCTGGTGCTATGTAGCTCAGCGGTAGAACACACGCTTAGCATAGACAAGGCTTACCTTCAGTACTGAGAAAAACAAAAGCAGCATAACTTGCAAATCAGGATATTTTTACAAGGCAAAAATTATTTATAGTATATCCAGTATATATACATATGTATTTTCTTTATATAACATTTTACGCTATATATACATATATATTATATATTTTTCTTGCTGAAAACTCTAGTGTAATAGTTAACTTACTGCCCTCAATGCGGAGAAGATGGGGTGGTGAGCTATACAGCACAACAGGGAAGGACACGGTTTGTGCTGGACTGAGTGGGAGCTGGGATGGGAGGAATTGCAGTTCCAGTTCCGTAGGCAGCACCTGATAACCAGAGAAGAGCAAACAACAGGTGGTATCTAGGAGAACAGCTGGCACCAGGATGCCCAGCCTGAGGAAATGGGGGAAAGAACTGATTACACACCGGGTAGAACAGTCAGGAACACAGAACACAGAAGCAAAGAGCTAGGGCACATAGCATGGCCAGTCTGGATTCTAGGACTAGGGTGAATCCTGACAACAGACTGAGAAAACCTGCAGTCTCGGCAGGCTGACGGTGCAGGATTTGAATATGACAGGGCCAAGGTTAGAGATGTAGCCTAACAGGCAGAGTGCTTGATTGGCACGAGGGCAGCTCTGGGTTATAGTCCCAGCACTGCAGAAACCTGGTGATGTGGCACAAGCCTGTACTCCCAGCTCTCAGGTGGGAGCAGGAGGTCAGAAGTTCAAGGTCATCCTCTGCCAGTGTCTTCCAGGCCAGCTTGGAATATATGAGACCTTGTCTAAAAATTAAATAAATGGCTTGGTAGGTGGAGGCACCTATTGCCAAGTTTGATAGCCTGGGCTCAATGCTTGAAACCTACATAGTAGAAGAGGACCAATTTTGGAAGTTTCTTCTTGCAAGCTATGCCAGGCATGTACCAAACCCAATAACAACAAGTAAACAAACAAACATTCAAACATACATACAAACATACATACACACATACATACATAAAAGGGCTATGGGTCCATTCTTAGATAAGGACCAGGGTCAGGGCTCCCCACATAATCAAGGAAGAGGGATACTCCACAGAAGTCCTGGGATTCCCTTTGCCTCTGGGTTCTAAGATGGGGAGGAACAGAGACCACCAACTACGTAGGACCAAGTGGTGTTATTCTATGACAGACAGCCCAGGAGATGCCTTTCAGTCATAGAAAACAAGTGCTTCGAAGTAAAGCAAAATTAACATGGAGAAAAGGAAAGAAAAAAAGTTTAGAAGGAAAAACAGAGAAATAAAATACTGTATGCAAATGAAGATAGATTATCATTAATAAAATGATATGGTAGTGTCCAGGCTGAAAATTGCATATGTTCCCTCTACTTCCCAGGATATAACACGTTTATCCACTTAATACTGGGTTTGTAACAAACTTAAGTGTCACCTACCAAGGGCATCCCTCCACTCGCCTTTACTGAGCTCTTATCTCCATACCCACAATGACTTACTGCTGCCTTTTGCCTCGTAAAATCTTTACAACAGGAAAATGACTTTGGACGGATTAACTTGGATTAATCTATTGAACTTGGATCCCTGAAGGCAGAAGTCCCTATTTCACTAAGGATGATGTAATCCACAGTTTCCCTGGCCAATCCTCACCTTTTTCCTGTAGTCATGCTACTTCCTATCACTGAAAGGGTCTTAGTGTCGAGTTTCAGAAGTGCCGGGAGGAAATCCATGCTTATCTATCTCAGTCATTTAACACCAGGCACAGCATTTAACGAACACTGAGTACTGCACACCAGGCACCGAGATCTGAGGAGAGGGGAGAACAGATCTACACATCTTTCTTCTCTTGGGGTTTACACCCTACAGGGCTGAGGGGCTCAGGCCATAAGCTAAGTAATTTCAGATAATAAAAAGTAATATAAAGAAAACAAAATCTGGGGTATTAATATAAGATAGGCAATTAGAAAAAGTGTTCTGAAGCCGGATGTGGTGGTTCCCGTCTTTAATCCCAGAACTTGGGAGGCAGAGGCAGTTGGATCTCTGGAGTTCAAGGCCAGCTTGGTCGACGAAGCAAGTTCTGGGACAGCCAGGGCTATTTATTGTACAGAAAAACCTGGTCTCAAACAAAACCAAACCAAACCAAACCAAACCAAAACGTGTGGTGGAGGAGCCATGACCTATTGGGAGGAAATGTTTCCTGATTCGCTCAGGCAACAACTGCCACTCTCAGGACCTATGATAGAACTGACTGCCCAGAGGAAAAGGACCACTTCTAGTCCCTTCTATTAACCTACTTAAAGGGATTCTACTGCATTACAGAATGTTAAATTGGACCTTGAAGTGTTGCCTTTGACTTTGGGGGCCAGACTGTACGTGTCCAGATGTCTCCTTGGGCTCTTGGCTCTCTGTTCATTTAGTGGGCAGGCAAACCGGAGAAACAGGCTGGCATGCTTATACATGCCAAGAGCCAAAAGGCAAACCATGTCCTGGCTCAGCTCACTTGTCTGTAGGCAGGGGATGGGCTGTGATATGCTACCGATTGAAGGCTGCGTACTAGGTGAGTTGATTTAAGAAGAGCATGAGAATAATAAGTTACAGTGCCAAATATTTGAAAAGGATCTTTTTGTAGAGAAGCACAGATAAGAATTAAAATCTGATGTTTCCATTTTGCTATTATTTCAGCAGCATGTCACTCAAGGTAGGCAAAACCAATTCGTGCACTTCAGACTGGATATCCTAAAGCTCCAACTGCCTTCTTTATAGGCTTATTTCTAGCCCCCAAATCTAATTAGGCTGCAGAGGTCATACTAGGTCCACTTGTCATGGGTGTCTGTTACAGAACATAGACTGGCATACGACTTTTGGCCAACGAGTCTGGAACAAAAGGTCCACTCTTTTCCTTGAAATTAAAGAGGGGGAGTGTGTAGAAACACCAAGAAAGGAAAGTAACAATCCGCTGAATGCAAGAAACCTCTACTATCACCATACGAACCTGCGGGACAGCGAGAAGACTGCAATGACTCAAAGCCGAGACAGCCCAAGAGTTCAAAAGATGAGAGAACATAACTGAAATGTAATTGAGTATCACGGAGTTCTGACGGTTCTGGAGGTAAAAGTAGATAAAGGAGAAAAGGAGTGCGTGCGCACCCCTCCTCCCCCCCAGTTTAAACTAGAATATAAGGGAATTTAAGTATTTTCAGTTGAATGAGGGAATATTTTGGGGTCTAAGTTTTTTTTCATTCCTCATGCCAGAATGTGTGTAAATACACAAGTATCAGTGCCCCAGTACATTCTCTTCTTTCTTTCTTTCTTTCTTTCTTTCTTTCTTTCTTTCTTCCTTCCTTTCTTTCTTTCTTTTCTTTCTTTCTTTCTTTTTTTTTGAGACAGGGTTTCTCTATAGCGTTGGAGCCTGTCCTGAAACTAGCTCTTGTAGACCAGGCTGGCCTCGAACTCAAAACTCACAGAGATCCGTGCCTCCAGAGTTCTGGGATTAAAGGCGTGCACCGCCACCACCCGATGCTCTCTATTTTAAGCGAATTTCCAAGAGATTTAAAGTACTTTCAGAAAAATGAATTAATCGAACATTGTATTTGTTCAAATACTTATCGAAGAAGTTCGTTATTTAATGTCTGGTTTAAAAGAAATCTTTTCTTCTTCATAAACAGGTTACCTAATACCTTTTTTTTTTTCGTTTTTTTGAGACAGGCTTTCTCTGTGTAACAGCCCTAGCTGTCCTGGCTCTTGTACTTTCAATGGCATTTTGTACGAAGAATGAGAGGCAAAGAAAGAAAAGAGGTAGTGACAGCGATTTGCATTTTCTAAAAGGAGGGAATGGGACTCGGGAGGGTAAACGAGGTCACCCCGCTGAGCCAAAGGTGGATTGAGAATCTTATTTATAGTCCGCTGACTTCAGTTCAGCCGGCTCCCGTCGCTCCTTATCTTAGGGCCGAGGAATTCGCGGCCCCGCAGATCACAGCCACCCCAGCGCCCTGAGGCCGAAACGCGGTTTTCGCTAGTGCCCCCGAGAACGCGAGCACCTCCACGTCCCACCCCACC